CTTCTGGTATTTGCATACATACATTCTTCTCTCCCTAAGGCTAAACAGCCACAGCTCTCTCAGCCTTTTTTCATAGAAGAGATGCTCCAGTTCCTTCGTCATTATGGCATTTTGCTGAGCTCTCTCTAAGTATGTCTATGTCTCCCTTGCTCTGAGGAGCCCAGAGCTGAACACAGCACTCCAAGGGTGGCCTCATCAGTAATGAGTAGAGGGAAAGGATTACAGGCCTCCACCTACTCATGACACTCATCTCAGTGCAGCCCCGAATACCAGTTGTGGCCTTCTTTGCCACAAGAGCACACTGCTGGCTCATGTTCAACTTGGTGTCCACCAGAACTCCCAGGTCCTGTAGAATGGTTTAGTGTTTTGCTGGTTTGGGTTTTTTTTTAAGTGATAATTGGTTTTAAAAATGAAAAGTTATGACCTGAAGATGGAGAATATTTTAAACAAAAGCATGCAGCCATACCAGTCAGTCATACTGGTTTAATGCATCTCCTTTTTGAAAGTACACATGTATTTCCTATGCTTCTTAGGGATGATGACATAGCTGCAACTGTCCAAATAGCAATGTATGTTTTCTGTTAAATATATTTTGGGGATTGGCTCTGAATCCTTTACCTGTTAGATAGTATTATGAAGTGTAGAAAATAGAAATACTGAGGCATGAAGCCTGTTTATTATGCAACAGTGACATCCTGTTTTCTAATGATACATCCATGTAAGGTGGTCTCTCCTGCTATGTGGTTAGATCCGTATTTTACAGTTTTTAAAAATAGCAAACTTAGTTCTTATGCATGTTTTTACATAGTGATTTGCACATGGAAGCTAACAATCCACATGTCTAATCTCTAGCCATATTGATTCACAAGATATCTAACCTTGTGACAGCCTCATGTCAAAGTTTCATCAGACTGTTTCTTTGGGAGCATGCTAAATGGGGAAACTTGGCTGTGAAGGCAAAATAAAATTAATTTATGTTTTTAATATTATTATTCTTTTCACATTGATAAAATGTGAGATAATAGGATATACTGTACAGTTTTCACATCTTATCATGAAATATCATGGCATTACTAATAGCTCAGGGCTAATAACCTCCTGAGCAATGTAAATGCTGAACAGCCAGCATGTTTTCTCATGCTGATGGGACTTTTTTGAGTTGGTCAGTACTATCATATTGTTCTGCCTGTCCCCACCCTTAAAGTGGATATACGTAAAAAGCCCTTTAAAATCTACTTCTTATTGTGATTAAAGGCTATTTTTAGAACCAGGTAAGTAAAGCAGAGAAAATTGCATCAGCTGGGTGAAACAGAACAGAGCACATCTTCCCCTCACAAACTGTGTCTTCACTCTCAGTCTTGGTCTTATATCAGCAACTTTCAGAGGCTCCCTGGGTTGCAGCAAATTATAGATGATCCTGTCTTATCCCTAGGAACCATCTTTCTTTTCATCATCACTGAAGCCTGATTGCTTTTGTGCATCTTACCCCTGCTCCCTTATTCCTCTCTATTATGGACTTATTGGTCTTTGCCCCAGCTACATCAGAAGCCTATTTCTACAGAGTATTCCTAGGTTTTGTTGGGGAAGAAGGTATCCTCCATTCACTCCAGAGGGTTCCACATCCAAGGACAAATAGCTGAATTTTTCTCAGCTGTTCTGTTGCTTTCTTTGACAGGAGTACACATACTAGATTCAGGATACTGCTAGCAGCCAAATGAAAGCAAGTATCTTCTTTTACACCCTTACTTTATCATTTCCTTTGTCTGTAGGTATGCTTAGATAAATATTATACTGCATATACTACTTGATAGCCCACATTAAACTCCTTCCAACTTCATGTTTCAGCAACCAACTCATTAGTGACTGCAGATTTGTATGCTAGTTACTCTGGTATTTGACAATGTAAATAAGTAAATAAAATTAAATAAATTTAAAAAATCTTGTTCACCCCTTTCTCAGTTTTACTTGTGAAACTAAATTGTATATCGCCTACCTAAATGATGGCAAGATGTAATTTTCACCTTACCTGCAAAAGCCAGTAACAGATATAGTGTGGAAGGATGCAGGACTTAGAAACATGGGAAGTCACTGTGAGAGCGAAAGGCAGCAACAGAAACAGTAGAGTTAAAACATGAGAGACTGAGATAGGAAGTAAGGAACTATCATCGGGCCTGTGTGACAGGGGTATATTTGGCCATTGACACTGCATGTGCTACTTCCAATTCCAGCTATTAAACTGCCTTCATTTGCTCATGAGCATCGTTTACTCTGGTCAAGGTCTAAATTGGATTATGGTGTAATTATTTCAAAATGGGATATTTCAGATTTTTATATTTTAGTAAATGGATCTGGGAGGATAATTATCTTCATGTTTTGTGTACTTTTTCTCAACTTTCCAAAGACAGTGCATCCTCTTCTTTATACATTGTTCTTTATTTTTTTATTTCCTCATTCTGATTATACCCTATATTGTCTTTATTTGCCCAGAATGAGATTTCCTGTCTTTAAAATAGGCTTCCCACTTGCCTTCCACTTGCATCCCCAAATAAACATTTAGTCATCTTAAAGACAGAAGAATAAAAATAACAGTAAAATCATAAAATATCAGGTTGGAAGCGACCTCAAGAATCATCTGGTCCAAACTTTCCTGGCAAAAAACACAGTCCAGAGAAGGTGGCCCAGCACCCAGTGCAGCTGAATCTTACACATATCCAATGTTGGGGATTCAGAAGTTTTCTTTTTGATTGTACTAATAGATTTCTGGACCCTGTCTAGAAAAACATTTGCAAAGAAGGGCAACAACAACAAAAAAAAAAAAAAAAACTACAAAAAACCAAACCAACCACAGCAGCCCTGCGGAGAAGGACTTGGGGTGCTGGTTGATGAGAAAATGAACATGAGCCGGCAGTGTGCACTTGCAGCCCAGAAAGCCAACTGTATCCTGGGATGCATCAAAAGGAGCGTGACCAGCAGGTTGAAGGGGGTGATCCTGCCCCTCTGCTCTGCTCTTGTGAGGTCTCACCTGGAGTATTGTGTGCAGTTCTGGTGTCCTCAACATAAAAAGGACATGGATCCTTTGGAACAAGTCCAGAGGAGGGTCACGAGGATGATCAGGGGACGGGAGCACCTCCTGTATGAAGATAGGCTGAGAAAGTTGGGGCTGTTCAGCCTGGAGAAGGCTGTGTGGAGACTTCATAGCAGCCTTCCAGTATCTGAAGGGGGATTATAAGGATGCTGGGGATGGACTCTTCATTAAGGACTGTAGTGACAGGACAAGGGGTAACAGGTTAAAACTTAAACAGGGAAGTTTAGATTGGATATAAGGAAGAAGTTCTTTACTGTAAGGGTGGTGAGGCACTGGAATAGGTTGCCCAAGGAAGTTGTGAATGCTCCATCCCTGGCAGTGTTCAAGGCCAGGCTGGACAAAGCCTTGGGTGGCATGGTTTAGTGGGAGGTGTCCCTGCTCATGTCAGGGGTGTTGGAACTAGATAATCTTAAGGTCCTTTCCAACCCTAACTATTCTATGAACTATTCTATTCTAAACAAAAATCCAAAACAAAACCAAAAATCCTCACAAACCTGAAGCAAACTGCATTAAAAAAAGGGTTTCTTGTTTCATACTGCAGTTCCCACTTGCCTTGCCTTTTCCTTCCCACCCCCTTCAAAATCACCCTACTTCATTGCTGTCTTCAAACTATGTAAATAAAAAATGTTACAATTATATATTCAATTTATTTTTTTCTTAGAAATGGTGATGTTATTTAAAAGAGGTAAAGGGACTTTGCATATAGTCACTTCATCACAGTCAGCTGATTCTTGTGAATGAATTCCATCAGGAGAGCAGCAAGATCCTTGGTAGCTGAAGGCTTTGTGTATAGTAGATCTTAGTGAACTTAAAGAAAGACCAGACATTAATAGGAAAGGTAAAACAGTAAAATGCTAGCAGCTTGAAAATGGAGGAGAAAATGAGAATAGCAGTTTCTACTGAGGATCAAATACTGTGTGCTCTGGAGGAAGGATGGAAGAGTCATCAGGATTGAAGTGTGTAAGAAGGGCAGAGGAAAAGAAGGTAACATCAGAAATGGGTTTGGAAGAAGAAGAGAGGGAGATGGGTAGTGTTTTCTTCTGCCCTCAGTCTTGCTGGGTTTTGTGTGGTTTGATGGGGTTTTGTTTGTTGTTTTTTGTTTGTTTGTTTATTTTCCCTACAGGACTATCTACCAGAAATTTGCTGGTTTTCAGAACTGGCTGTGGATGATCTATTACTTCTATAGCTAAAGAGAAGTCTGTCTGTTTATGAATAGCTGTTTAGTAGAAACTAAGAAAATTAAACATTGATCTCAGAGTAGTGTCTCTATAAGAACAATGCTAACAAGAAGCATATTTTCTGTTTGGATTCTTTATGCCCGTGTATTTTATTTTCCACCATGCTACCTTAGCAATTAATTTGAGCACTTAGTTCTGTAATAGGTCTCTTAGGAGAGAAATAGTTGCATCCCATCCTACTTCACATGCTTCTTGTCTTCCCTGTGGCTGACTTCACTTCCAGTGATACTTTGCCTTATGTAAAAATAGAGATCATCAATAACTTTATTTTAGATTATGTCAGAGTTCAGATGCATAGAGTCACAAATCAGTTTCATATGTCAGATATTACAATGCATACTCTAAAAACTGGTTTACATGGTCATTATGTGACTGAGGGTACAGTCTTCCCAGTAGAAACTTCTCATCTGTGTTTCACCCATGCAGGGTTTGCCGTATAGACCATGCTTTAGAAACAGGTAGATTTCCAGACTGGTTACTTCTAATTTCCGCATGGGTCATTTAGTATTGGATAAGTTGTATTTTGCTTGGCTCTGGGATCTTTTTATTTCATTGAAGCTAATGAGTTTACTTAGTAGGGATTGTAATAAAAAAAATTAAAAACCAAACCAAACCAAAACCAATTCATACCAATTCCCCAAATATAATAAACTTTTGTAACTTTTTCTAATTTTTTTTTTTTTTATGTACAAGGCCATTACTTGCAAATGACCTACAAACTGGAATGTTGCAATAGGATGAAGTGGAATATTTTCATATCTGGATTGACTCTGTACTAGACTATGAACTGAATCACACCTGGTCAGTCGTTCCTCATTGACTTACATGTCTTCAGTGCGCAGTGAGGTTGGCTTAGATCTTAGTCTATTCCCACCTGCATAATCACCTAGAGACAAGACACATAAAATAACCTGGAGGTAATAAAATAATATAGACTGTGTTTAACCCATGCAAATAAAACATTGAAGTTCTTAGATAGAAAAGCCTTCCTGCCACCCCATCCCCAGGATCACAGTGTCAACTTAATTGAAAGAGCTGTAATTTTTTCCTATACTGTTTTGAAAGAATTGTTTGTGTAAAATAGATTTTCAAGAAATCAATATATATATATAAAACTTTTAGTTCTCCAGAATTGAGCCAACTAGCATATGTTTCCTGGAATAGCTTTTCTTTTTATCAGTCTAACTACAGGTAGAATTCTGAAGTTTTATACCCAAACAGAAAATAACATACAATTGATAAATAGGTGAACATCTCAACTGCTTTCAACCTCCTTATGTATTTCTATGATATTAGCATTAAATTGAACTTGGAAGTAACTAAAAGAAAGAATCTGATGTCTATGCTTAATACTTTCTGTCCCGGAAATATCTTTAAAGTGCACACTGGTAGGGGTTTGCTTCAAAGTTTATTCTAGTTGCATTTTCCTAACTGTACATGGTTGATTTGAATCGTATTTTCCTTGAAACATATATGATACTGCCACTGAGTTGTGAAGAACTGCAGGTAGAGAATAGAATCATAGAATAGTTAGGGTTGGAAAGGAGCTTAAGATCACCAAGTTCCAATACTTCACTATGAGAATATAGCAGTCTTTTATTTTCAGAATCTGTACATTTTAAAAATAGATGAAGAAGCTCAATTGACTGTAAATTCCTACAGTAGCTTTAGCAAATATTTTGTTTTGTTGGTTTTTTTATTTTCATTCATTTTATAGGCTTGTGTATGATATACAGACTTTGGATATGACAGTGAAATGAAAAGTGATCAATTTCTCCATAGATTCTAATCAATTCATATGAAGATGAAACACAATAGGACTTTAAGGTCAATTTTAGCTTCACATTAAACCACAGGTTTTTACTTTTCCTTTAGAGAGGTCTAAGCACTGAAAGATACACTTCTATGTACAAGAAGTCCTGCCTATGAGAAATGGATGAAAAAAGGGCAGTATATCTAGAAAACAAAAAGCAGTTGATACAGTGTAGAAGTATGCTAATCTCTCCATTGCTTTTGAAAATTCATTCCTACTTCTTCATAAGTGAACTGAGAAAATGCCGAATCTTCATCCTAATTCATTGTAGGATTTCTGCTTATATGATTACTTCTAATCATTGTATAACCCTTCTTTAGAAGAGAAATGAGAGCTCCTGTGCAGATGGACTTTGCTAAAGATGAAGTGACAAGGAACATCAGAGGATTTTGGTTCTAACTTGTTAGTGCATCTTCTGTTTGGGTTCCTTGTGAGTTCAGCTCTTTTATCTGGTTTTCAGTTCACACACAAAAGAGCCCTACTTTGAAACATTTCAGGTTTGTTTAAGGAAAACAATGCCCTATAAACTATTGCAATTTTAATTCCTTTCTAAGAAAATAATCTTTCTAATTTATGTGAGTCAGGTGACAGTTTTTGCTTACTCTCCCTTTTAATGCATGGAACTTTCTTTTCTATTTAGTACACACATGCATCTGTCCCCTTTCCATGTGTTGTGTCCTTTCATTTCATGCTTATCTTTTGTATCAGACCAACTTTCATCCATTTTCCTTTCTCCCTATGCTCAGCAACATACGTATGCATGCTTTTCTTTTAACCCAGCTGAGAGCCACATGCTGTGCACCTGTCTCAGAGCAAATATGCCTCCTGAGCCTGTGTTGTACAAGACAGGTACGTGAATCCTAACGAATATATTAATAAAAGGAAGAGAGTTCAACCATAAGGGCATTACACAAGATATTAATGCAATAGTATGTTTGCTTGACCTTATTTCTAGTTGTACAAACCCATCCTATTTTGCTAGACTTCCACAGTAAACTCAAAATGGTATTTGAGACATTAAGCTGCTTTTGCTTTTGTTCATCTGCATCTTCAGCTTCACAGAAACTCCTGTCCTGGTAGTTTAGATCTTACCAGCATCAGAGAAAACATGCCCTATATATTTTGAGTTAGCAATAACTGATTACTTTTCTCCTTAAGGATTTTTAAAAATGTAGGGAGTTCAGAAAGCCAGTTTGGTTGTTAATTCAATTCTGTCTACTCTCAAAATTCAGAAAAGGGGTATACCATGGTTTTCCTGTTACAATGCCAACACAGTAGTAAGTTGAAAATAGCTGTGACAACAAAAAGAAGGCATTTTTATTAGCACCTCTACTTGGTAATTAAACTGTGTGAATGATACTAGTAAAGAATTTTTATATGCCATTTTGCAGATAGTCAATAATAAAGCAGAACTTGGAAATAAACTCCTTATTCATAAGCATTAAGAGTTAGTTCCAGAGATGGGGTTATAACCTGATCTGTTCACTTTCAATTTTTACCTGGTTCAAACATGGAGTTTAGAAAATTTTGCTTTTCTTTCATTGGAAAATTGTTATCATAAAATTTTCTATTTTTTTTTTTTCATCTGTTTATCCAGTTACTGAAATGAAACCTCTGTGGTTTCATTACACCACCTGGAAAAATGGTGTAAACTTTTATTTATCGTTTTTAATCTTAATTTCTTTCAAGTGGGGAACAGTGCAGTGTAAAATAAATTGAATTGCTTCAGCTTTGCAGAAAACACTGAACTTCTGGTACAGCAAATTCCTGATCAAATGAATGTGGGTTTTATTTAATATAAAATTATATAGCTACACTGGATACTTGAGTTAATTTCAGAAAATACATTAATGAAGAAATTGATGAAAATTGCAAATAGTGAAAATATTTCAGAAACATAAGAAGGAGAAGAAATTACAACTACTTGCTACAGATCATTTGCACAGCTTTAGGGTACAAGTTAAGTAAAAAATCGTTTTTCCAGAGCTGTTGACAAAGCTAGCACCACACTGACAGTCCAGGAAAGAGCAGGGCAGGACCAGCTTTTACTCCTGGGCAGAAAAGCAGATACTTTCTAGTATACAGAGAAATGAGGTTCAGTGAATTGAGGAAACAGTACAAAGCAGGAAGTGTGGCTTCTAAGGCTCTTTGTGCCATCAAATTTTCAAAAACCCTGTAAAATAAGGCAAGATCTTCTGTTAGTGCATATTGCCATAATTGGTGTAATTTAGAATATCTCTACTATTTTCACTTAAGCTGAGGATTTAGCACATTTTGACAGTCTCAGTGACAGAATATGTTATAGATACTTGCTTGACAGAATTTATACAATTTAGAATTGGCTTGCTTGATTAATTCTTTGTGCTTGTGCCTGCCCCCTCCACCTACCATGCTGAGGGCTCTGTCATTTAGCATGACTCCATTATATTCAATCGAGCAGAGGCTGCAGGAAGCCAGACATATATGTCCTAGGGCCATACAAGAGCTATTTAGCTGGATGTACTCTGCAAAGCCAGAGGCACTCAAGAATCTACAGAAACACATTAGTGACATAATACTTTGTGCCTGCACCATGTTATGTAAATGTTCATTGTGAGGAAGTGTATGGTGTTTGTTCTCAGCTGGTTGTACTGTTGTATGTGTATAGTAGGTTGCTGTTGTTCGCAATAATTTACAGCTAATAGTGTTGGCAGTGTTCTTGACAAAGTTTAAAACGTGTTTAACTGCTGCTGTACTCTTACCATGATTTTTTACTTTATAGGACAGCTTCCTTAATTTTCTGTATGCCACTAGAGAGAAGAATGGAAGGAGTTGTTTGAGGTATACAAAATTAAGGGATGGGCACACATCCAGGGAATCTCAGAGGGAAATATGGGCAGTATGCCATACACTGAACTTGCTACACACGCGCACATCTGATCTAGCACACATACGCTATGCAGATGGTTAGCAATTGCACAGATCAACTCCACAAGACATGTCCAGATCCCACTTATCCTGGGGGTCTGGAAATCCTGGTCATATGGCCAGCCTGTGATTTCTCTCCTCTTTCTCCTTCCAGTCCTGAAATTATGTCTGAGGAGGGAGGAGAAGAAAAAGAGGACACGCTGAGGAAGAAAGACATACCAGGCTCTTGTTACCATCAAACACACTGAAAATGGCTAGGTTACCATAAACTAAGGAGCTTCAGGACCTCAGCTGAGCTATAATCTACTACTGTGTGTGTATTTTTAGTTTGCTGTTGCAGTGTAAAATGTATTCACTTCACTTAAGCTATGTCATAATAACTTACTGTGAATACTGAAATAAAATGCTAATTCGATACAGTTGGAAGAAAGCACTTGGCAAATTACTGGAACACCACTGATGGCTGGTAACTCATTTGCCTATGGTAGCTTGATCAGTTCTGATCAAATACTTTTTCTCTTAATCTGCCTGCTCTTTATTAATGGGCCTTCTCTATTTTAAGTTCAATTTTAAGTTCAATTAATTTATGAGTTAGAATGTTTGTCTTAGCCAAGTAAGCCATAATTAACCTTAATTAGAAATAGAACATTTCTTAAATCTTTAAGTCCTCTTCATTAATCAGTGCAACTTATTTTTCTTCATAAAAGTTAATTTTAGTTTTTCTAAATAAAAATATAATTCATTTTACCAAAACACTTTTGCCTAAACAATCTATTTGATACTGTTTTAAAGTATCAGCCTAATTTTAGATGGTCTGACTATCCTCCCATTGGTAGATATTTTTGCAAATATTTTGCATTAAAAATTGTGATAATTCAAATCAGGATCCATATTTTTCAGAAAATAAAAGGATACCATCCAAGGAACAGAAACCAGCCTGATCCTCTGCCACTGCAAATTTACCATTTACTTTGTTGGCATCATATTGTTTTTTTGCAGCTGGTCTTTGAATTAGTTACCTAAAGGTCACCTACTGGTGTCTTAGCAGAATTTCTTTAGTCGCTTCCTGTGACAGTTTGAAAACTAATGGTAAATTGTGTTTAGATGAGACAAGAGCAACTATGCCTCCAGGAATAGTTCCTTTCTGTTCCTAAAGAAAAACTTTCTTTCTGTTCCTAAGGAAAAACAGCATCAGATTCAGATGTCTTTCTCCCACAATACTGTATTGCCAATACAAAATATTAAATGAATTCAAGAATTAGTGTATAAATATTTAGGTAGCTGGATCTTTCCTCCAGTACATTCTGCTTCTGTTTAATTCTAGGAGTACTCACAGAGCTTCTTGAGACCATCACTACTCATATTTGCGCTAAATGTTATTTGTGTGTTGCGTAGATCTGGCAAAAAAAAAAAAATAAATCAATGTTTGGAGAAAACAGATTTTTTTTTCCCTCTTTTTGTTTCTGCAAGGTAGCCAATGAAGAATAAACAACCCTATCACAGTGAGGATTGTTTAAAAGAGGGAGTTCAATCAGTAGAATTAATAAGGCCTTATACAGATGTGATACCCACTGTAGTTTTTCTTCTGGTTTTCAGATGTTGCCATTTCAACCACAGAAACAGCTTGAAAATACTTCTCACTTTACCTAAAAGCTTTTATATCTGGATTGCTTGCTTGTATTGGAATCCTTATCCTCACCCCAGAGCACAGTGTTAAAAATTTCTTCAAAAATGTTATCTACTTGATTCACTTTTTTCTTCTTCTGTTAATCTTCTCTTTGGTTTTTGACGCTGAAGATCTTTTTTTCTTCTAAAATTCACAGATTTTGCCCCTGATTCATTTCAGACAATATACTTCGCATATTACTTCTCACTGCATTTAATAATGTCATCATTTATAAACTGTGTAGGCAATGTATTATTGTGCTAATTCAGTTTTTGTTAACAAGTTATCATTTCGGGTACTCTGAGTACAAATATAAAAATTCAGATATATGCTCTATAGTGTGTACATATATAAAAAATTTCAAGTTGCAGCAAACCAGTGTCTTCTTTTTTCTGACTGTACTCTATGTGCTTAGACTGGGATTGCACAGATGTGCTGCTCCCCCCCCCCCCCCATATCAGATACATTATTACTACTAGCCTGTAATCTAGCAATTATGCTACAGTTAAAAATGGTTGTAATTCTTTCTGAAGTTTAATATGAAGACTTTTGAACTGGAAACTGAACCTTAACTTTGAAAATGCCTTTGTATTTTAGTTTTAAATACATTATTAGAATCACCAAACAATTCAGGTTGAAAGTGATCACTTGAGGTTATCTGATTCCATCCCCTGCTCAAAGTTAGCCTAGCGTCAGGACCAGAGCAACGTGCTCAGGGCTTGTACAATCAAGTTTTGAGTATCTCCAAAGCTGGAAATCCCATAGCCTTTTTGGCTTTCCAGAGCTGACATGGAATCATAGAATAATTTGGTTTGGAAAGGACCTTCAAAGGTCATATAGTCCAACCTCCCTGCAGTGAGCTGGGACATCTTCAACTACACCAGGCTGTTCAGAACCACATCGAGCCTGGCCTTGAATCCTTGAATGTTTCCAGGGATGGCATGTCCACCACATCCTATGAGGAAGAATTTTTTCCTTATGGTTAATAGGAACTTCCCTTGTTGCAACTTGTGACCATTGCCTCTCATGCTATTTTTGCACATGTGGGGAGAGTCTGATTCTCTTCTACATAATTACTTACAATGTTGTTGAAGACAGCAGCTGAACCTCCCTTAGCCTTCTCCAGTCTGAGCGCACACACTTCTCTCTGCCTCTGCCTGTATGTCATGTGGTCCAGCTTTGTAAGTCAATGGCTCTTGTCTGGACTTTCACCTGTTTATTCATGTGTTCCTTGCAGTGGGGATCCCAAAATTTGACTGTTTCAGATACAGTCTCAGATTTTCCAGTTAGAACAGAGTAAACATTTCCATCGTCCTGCTTGTTTTATTCTATCTAGTACAGCCCAGAGTGCAGATAAACCTCATTACCTCAAGGGTATACTGCTGATTCATGCTCAACTTGCTGTCCACGAAGCCTCCAAGTCCTTTTCTGTCAAACGTTTTCTGTCAGCCCTTAGTCTGTACTGTTGCATTAAGTTACTTCTTCCCAGATGCAGGACCTTGCATTCATGTTCATTTGAGAAGAGAGGAAAGGAAAGGAGAGGAGACTGTCTGTTTACCTCTTGTGAAGCAATTAATAAAAAAAAAAAAAGCCACAATATTATAATCAGCCTGTTATCCAGGTTCAGCATGATGGCTGAAAAACTGATATTGAAGGAAGGAGCAGGAGGTGGGAACAGGAGCAGTAATCACGTGGATAAGAAGGTAGATCAAGTGACAGATTGTCACTGATGCCACTCACATGTTTTCTAAATGCTTCTTGTGGAGTTATTAGCATATTTCAGGTTTGTGGTTTCTTTTTCCAAATTAGTGTGCATAACCAAACTTCTTGACAGCAACAGTAAATAATTAGTTAAATTTGGTCTCCGATGGTTTTGAGTTCTGGAATCAGCACCAGATAACTTTTGGGTGTCCCAGTATGCATGTATTCTCGTGGTTCTGCTTGCAGTTTCCATACACCCTGAGTGCAAAGCGGTTTTGGTGCCCAATTATGAGTGAGGCAGACTGCCGATTTTAAAGCATTGCTTACTCCTGGTGATTCTTAAAACCCTCTGCTTGGAGGCCTGGGGTTTACAGTCTTGCTCTCTGACATTCAAAGCTTAAAGAGAAGCCTAAGACCCTGGACCCTGGTCAAATATCCTTGCTAATAAGTTTCCAATGTAAGGATGAACACCACTTCTTCCTAGCATAGCTTCTTATTTTTAAAAATATGGTTGCAATTGCATGTTAGGAGGTTAACAATGGAAGACAGAGGATTTGTTAAATGTATTTGGCTCATGCCATCTGGACCAGATCCTCCCAGTCCTAACTAGTTTATGAAGCTGCTATGGTTTTACTTGGAATAAGGCATTTAGCTTCTTTAATCTGACAATGCTATGAATGATCAAAATGCTAAACACTATTAAAGATATAAATTTTCTTACTAAACAGTTAGTATCTAAAGATGATATTTTACTAGGATAAGACAATAGCTAATGGGATGATTTGGGATAGCAGTTTTTGTCTTGTGTAAACTAAATGGGATTAAATCCCATTGTAAAATGGGGTGTGACCTTTTGTGTACCTGTGCCCAGAACTGCCTCCACAAAATATCTAAATGTCACATTAAGGAATTCAATAAAATGTATATATGTGCAGTACATATACACATATATGTATAGCTAAAAATAGATGATATCCGTATCTTTTGCATGCAAGTTTGGTGATCTTGTCTCAAAAAAAGATAAAGGAAATTGGGAAAAAAAAAACAAACAGTGAGGTTCAGAGGTGAGCAATAGCTTCTGTGCAAGAACTTTCATAGCCAGAACTTCTGCCTGGCATGGGGAAAATAATGGAAGGGGAGATACATGAGTGATGATCTATGAAAGTTGTGGAGAACGGGCTTCAGAATGATTTGCCATGAAATAAATGAAGGGGAAGATTCCCAAAGAAATTATCATACATCAAGTATAAAAGAAGCAAAAAGACATTGTTAAATACATAGTGAATATATTTTACTACATAATTGCATGCACAATTCTTTGACATTAAAAGCATATGATAGGAAAAGAATGGATTGGTTCAAGGAGAAATTACCAGATTTATGGAAGAATATTGACAGAGGTGTTGAGCATAATGCTGTCAATGCAAATTTTGGCTTAGGATATCCACACAACACAAGCTGCTGGACCTTGGAGAATATGCCAGAGGAATAATAAGTATCTGTCCTGTTTTATGTTTGCCTAATCATTAGTTACAGTGTTGTCTGTCCTGAATCACATACTTCTTATGCTTATAAACATAATGGAGGTATACTGTGTCCTGACTGAAGTTTCCTGAATATTTTTTTGCGATATTAACTAGCTTTGAGAGTTATCTAAGCTTAGTAACTAAACTAACTGTTTTTTAAAAAAGGTAGTACATGAACTAAGCAAGCTTTTTAATAAAAATGTGTCTGGTGATATGGTCATATTTCTACTGAAAATGGAAACCCGCTGATATTTCACACAGGCAAAAAAGAAACAAAGTGAAGGGAAAATGCAAAACATGGCAGGACTTTTCAGCTTTATTATTATTATTCCTTATTAATAAGTAGAAAAATGCCTTGCAAAGAGTCATTAGGGGCTGCACCCTAATTCAGTCTCAAAATGGCATCTTTGTCAGGTAATTGCACAGGGCTGGCAGAAGTTTCCAGGAAGACCTACCGAGAAACCTGTGTGTTCTGAAGCAGGCACAGCTGGGGTGTGTCATATAGCACTAGTTGCCTCTGTTTAGAAAAGTGAATCAGCTTGAAAAAGTAAAGTAGTTGTGTTAAAGTAGTAAAGTGTTTCATGGTGAGATTAAAACATCTACATGAAGATGTGCTCAACATTTTAGTTCCCCTTACAAAAAAATGAGATTGGAGA